AGCTGTAGCTGGCTGCTCTTTCAACTGAGTTCTGATCAGGTCGACTGTCTAGCGGAATGCGATCGAGACTCACAAAAACACGGGCGGAAGCTTGTCAGTCCTGGCCATGACGGAGATGCAGACGACAGCGAGGGCGGGTATAAGTGAGAACAGCAGGGAGCCGAGCATAGCCCTTTGGTTCCCCAGAACAGTTTCCTTCTGCAGCACAAAGCCACTAAAGAAAAAAACCAATACCACTTTTATCAAACCACGCAGTTGGTATTGTTGCCATCGTTGTGTCCAAAGCGTCTGCAATTTGCAAGCATAGAAGACCGGCTCGCAGTGTACACCCTTGCCTGCTTCTGTAGGGGGTCTTCAGATAGTATAGAGGGGTTGAAACCTTGATCTAGAAGTTTCAGGAGCAGCTCTCGAGCCCCCACCACCTGGGGTCTGTAGGTCACCATCAGTTGTTTCGTGCCAGTTGCCTCAACGCCTCTCTGTGGGGTGACTACACAGCCCATAACTCCGTTGCTGCTCTTCAGTCTGCTGCAGGCGGATTCGACAGATAAGCCCTGACGCTCCGTTAGCGCGAGACGAAGTGTGGCCTTTGACATGGCCCAAAGCTCATTGAAATCATGCGCTTGCTGGGTTGCTTCTTGACACTGAGGGAGCCGCAGCTCCACCTCTTTGCATCCCCCTGCAGCCGATCCATCCACCAACAGTTCTTTTGAAACCTCCTGTTGCTCGTCCGTTGATTGTTCTGCAGAGTCTGTTGTGGTTCTGATGCTGCTTTCAGCGGACGGGCTCGGGTTATTTGCCACGAATATCTGCAGGACTTGTGCGTGAAAACCCAGGCTTTCGACTGCTGCGCAAAGTTCAGCCGGGCTTATAACATCACTGTTGTAGGCGACGCGTGCAGTTTCCCTCAAAAGGTCCACTTGAGCTTGAATGGCGCCAGGGCATTTGATCAGACTGCTTTGAACGGCTCCCGTGCAGGCGGCGCAGGTCATGCCGCCCACTAACAACTCGCAAACAGCCACAGGTGGCATTTTTATTACCCACTGACCCTGGAAAATACATAAACGGAGGGATAACGCCTTTTGTGCACAGGGGCCGGCAGGAGGAGCAGAGTTCGAAACCTGGCAATCTGCGAGCACTGCACCGGAAGCGCGGCGCAAAAAAAAGGCCTTTTATAAACTGAAACCCTCCAATTCAATATGTTGGTAACTATTCTTAATATTTTATTTCAGTCGAAGAACAACGGATTGGAGGATAGGCTCCGCGGATGACCAGCGGTGACTGAGTGACCCAGGCCTGTTCGGGAGCTCGTGGTGTAGGAGCGCCCCCTTGGGCATATTGCCGTTCCTAATCCCCCAACTTGGTGAGTTATATTGCATTTTTGGAAAAGCAGGGGGCATTACGGTGGGGTTTCTAGCTCCAGAAGCGGTGCATGCAGCTCGTACCGCTTACCTGGCTGGGAGGCGTTGGCGGACAGACCACCCGCCGAAACCCAAAGAATGATGCATATTCAGGTTCCGCATGCCCTGGCGTCATAATAATGATATTACATGCGTGTTTGACCATTTGACACGATGATTTACTTGCAGCCGAGAGATGGACGCCTCATGAAACGAGCGATTGGACCTGCAGGCCACATGTCACAAGGGGGGCCCGCGAAAGTCTGCCCAATCTTCACGCCAAACAAGAAGAAAGGCTTATTTTCGATGTCTTTCGTCTTATATTTTCAGTGGTGACCAAGGTATGCAAAGGAGTAGAGATAGATGGGAACGGTTCAGCGTTAATATGGATTGCTTGCAGCAACCTGTCGAATAATCTGCACACAGATGCCTGCAGAATATAGAGTTTTTTATCTGCTTGCGTCGTATACCGAGAGAGAAGTATTGAATTAGATAAGCCTTAGGTCGCTTCTTTTCTACATATAAATGCCTGTCTTGCATGTAAAGTGTTAAACTGGGAATACCGAAGATTAACTAGGTGACAGACGACGAGGCAAAAACGCTGCATCTCGAATTAGTTATGACGCGAAAACCACGGCAAAAACAGCGACTTGGGACATGTTTGATTTACTATTTTGCTGGCTTTTGCTGGCTCGGTACAC